GGGCAAATAGCCCTGGTCTCCCCTTTGCATCGCTTGTAAGAGAAATTTGAAGATTAAACGCACCCCCAGGAGATAGAATTTCAAGGAATTGACGTTGAATCGTGTCCACATATATCTGAAGCATAAAAAATCTAGTTGTATAACTGTTGTGCAATTATGTAGGACAACAAGTGAATTTACCATGTTACATGTACTCCAAGTAGTTCACAAGTGCTAGACAAGAAAAGCTTGTGTATCGAGTTACTCCGGCTACGTCTTCCTTTTTTTTCAAAAACAAGTCGCTGTTTAGTATCTTTTTCAGAAAATAAACACAAATTCAACAATCATCATTTACAAACTTTCTTTAACAACCGACACACAATATAAGCAATGCTTAATAATAAACGGTATGTAGGGCAATGAACCCTCTTGCTAGTATTCTCGGAAACCAAGCAGAAGAGATGAAATGTCAATGGCAAGTAGAATTCCAGAGTAATGAAAATACTTGGCCACCCACCTCGGACTTATTGATGACAATCAAGCTTTCAACGTGGGCGATAGAAATTGTTTCTCAGAAACACATTGCGAAGACATACTGAGTTTGCAAGCGTTTGCGATTATATAACACAGAGTGGCCAAGAATAGATCAAGTCAAAATCTCGACGCCCTGTTTTTGATGTCTTTTTAGTGTATTTTGCACTTACAAGCAAAAAACAACTGCAAAAGTACTACAAACAAGTTCCACTGAAAGAAATTTCATGAGCAAAGTAGACATAGCAACCCATCCCAATTTGCAACATGCTCCATTGTTACAATGACCTTTACTCCGAGATCTTCACAATTCCATATATCACCAGTATTCAACTTTACTTCGATTTAGAGATCTTCACAATTCCATTACAACAGTATTCTTTCTTTCGGGTCAAACAAAAAAACTCACGGAAAACACAAACTAGTTGTACAAGACAATTAACGTGGTTTTACAACTGATCTATTTTGTCAATACAACAATATCTACCAAATAGTGGGACCTAATATTGTAGGTTGGATGCAGAGGTCTAACACAACCTTTGAAGGGATATGAAATTATCACTTTTGTTATCTAATATGTTGTCTCATATCTAACTTAAATCTAACAGGTGTTGTCTGTTGGAAGAACAAGTGTTTTACACCGCCGTTTTGATTGTACTCGTGGCCTGCTGACATTGCGATCTTTGACGTCAAAATGATTATTGCTAGGTGAAAGACTCTCGTAAGAAACTAATCAAATAACTGAACAGAAGTAGGTGAGATAAAAAAAGAAATTCCGTTCAGAAACAATGGACAAATCCCAGACGTTGGAAAGAACGATAGTTCAAAAACTGGATCTTAGCAAATGAGAGAAAAGTTTATCATTAAAAAATGCCTGATTTTGTGAGTAAACAACGCCGCGCCAAGTTCTACTTTGTAATAAATGAGTCTCAATATGTCAAACGTCCTCGATGCCTTTGGCATATATTTAGTCATCATGGGCAACACTCTTGTCTAAACGCCCCATTGTTTTTCTCGGAAATCAAATACTTCAAATAGCAATTGCAGTATACTCAAGTCCACATAAGTGGGGATCAAACGCCACACACTGGGATTTAAATGTGGCGCAAGCTGTGGTCTTCATGCGCGCAACCAAAATCTTGCATAATACTAGTAATCATTGTCTAGACAAAGCAAGGTTTCCGTGAATCTACACGCAAAACGATAGTAGACATAGTAAAGATGGCTTATCCATCAATGATATCAGGCTGTGAAACCAATCTTCGTCTTTTTAGTCTTTGTGTACTATATATATATATATAGTACACAAAGACTAAAAAGACGAAGATGCACGCACATGTATACACTCACACGCACTCACACATACAAAAACACACACTAACTTAAAACACAGAAAGCAGCACTTCTGATCTAAAAGCATTCTTATAATCATAGTGGCATTTTGGACGAAAACATCTAAGACTGGGTTCCCATCCCTAGATCGATCTAACAGGATCGGTCCATCTCCACGGGTCCCTTGCTAAATAAATTGCTTTCAGCCCAGCGGCTTAGACGTTTGGGATGCCCACCTAAGTTGCTAAACGATAGTTAATTACCCCCAATCAGCCTGAGCAGGCGTGACAGACATCTAAGCCGCTCAAGTTAATTGCAATTAAGTGAGAATCCCCTCGGAGATAGTTCGATCCAAAGTTAGTACGATAGGGTCTGGGAATGGTCTTTTACATACTTAATCCTCAAATGAGGTATATACTGTATGTGACTCTGTGGCTTTTTTCCTTGACAATTATCAGCACTGCCATGACCAAGTCGTAGCAAGTATAGTAAAACCTAGATTTCATTTACACGGGCGCCGTGCGATGAAATTGTCCGTACGATTTCTTTTTGAAATCGTAAGGAGCTACGGGCTTCGCCGGGTATGTCTACATTACATGGCCTTAAATCCGTACGATTCCGTGCGATTTCGCACGGCCACCGTTTACCTCCGCTCAGACGCCGTACGAAAAAGAGTATTATGGGCAGTAGACGTGCACCGTACGGGCATCTCATTTCCAACGTTATCTAGGCTGAAGTTGATTTGCTGTCACTTGAGAAAGCCAACAAGTTTGTTCATTCCTCTTAAAAAAGTATCAGCATGCTGTCGATAAAAATGATAAAAATAAAAATCTTATCTAAGAGACCATTCCCACAGATATTTAGATCGATCTATCCCCCTGGGGAGTCTCACTAGATTGCTGTTAGCTAACCGCTTAAATGTCTGTCCCGCCTACTAAAAGCTGTAAGGGGGTAATTAACTTTTGTGCGCGCTCGGCTCCTGGAAGCTGACAGCAATTTAGCGTGAACCCCCAGGGAGTTAGGTCGATCCAGATGGATCGATCTAAATCTGTGGGAACCCAGTCAAAGCCTGCCAGATATGGCACGCTGGAATTACTGCGGGGCACTCTTATTCCTTAGAGAATACCCAAAGGTGACCTCTTTGCAGCCCACCAAACGAAAAAGCTCGAGATTTTTGTAAATGATAACTTATGCTGACTCACTACATGCTGACTCACTATTCAGGATACGGAGTCTTATTTAACATGTGACACGTATATATATATTTTATCCCTTAATATTAAAAACGGGCAATAATTTAAAATGTCGAAATAATTTTTCGAGACAATTCATTTGTGGGTCATATAAAAAAGTGGCCTTGGTTGGCTAAATCTCGAACAAACAAATCTCTGTGTAGTTTTCTTACTTGAATGATGATGTCAATTTTTGTGGAAATTTTAGTTGAAGAAGACATAATAAGAGCTTTCCGCATTATTTTCCCTGAACTCACACTGAACAGCACCGAGTTGCCCACCTCGGAATCTCGGCGTACTTACTTGTGTAAAAAAATGTTTAATGAGATCAAATTACATAAGCATAGATTACATAATCTTTCAAGAATACCCGTATCATTGAAAAGGACACCAGGAATCATAACGGTTGTTTTACCTTAATGTCTGACGAAACAACATAAAAACACTTTAAACCATACATAATGCGCGTTTTAATGACCAGTGTCTATTCATGGACTTTTACCCTTTAAAATAATGACGCACGTTATCTTTTTTATCATTATTTTTTTTAATAATCATTTCAAACGTTTATTTAATTGATTAAAACAAACTTCATTTGAATACAATATTTTGTATAGGTATTCAATACACGTTTTATATATTGCAAGGCGAGTTTAATAAACCCTTTGTTTTATAACTTTGTTTTATAACCGCTACCGATTACACCGAACCCGTAAAAAGCAGCGAAAAATAAAGACTGACATCTGACTTTTATTTTAAGGGAGTCATATGTTACCCTCTACCAAGGCCACAGATTGATTTTTCACTACATATTCACAGATAATGTCTCTGGCTAAATATGGTCAATCTCAGAAGAGTAGGCCTACACATATTTTCGACTGGCCTGGTAGAGAGTAGCCGACTGCATGGCTTTACACAATGATATGTAGTAGAGGCATATACCTGTACATTAATGGTTTGATGTACAAAAAAAAAAAAAACCTGTACATGTCATGTGTGCATGTGGATGTCTAAGTGCATGGATGAATCGCACAATTGTTCGTGAGTAGGAAAAAATTGCTTTTCCCCCGAGGAATATTCATTTTGGCAGGCAAATACCATATAGAGATATTTTAATGTTTATCAAGATAAAAACTCCATACACTTTCTCTACAGCTACGTGTATACCCGTAAACGAAGAAAGGACGCATGTACGTCTGTCTGGACTCCAATTTATTTGTTTATTTATTTATTTTTTAATTTAATTTAATTTTATTTTATTTTATTTTATTTTAATTTTTTGCATTTCTGAATCTTAGGTCTCGACATTTTAAATGCTTGCTTCAAAGTTTGGACAATCTGGCCAAGATCCATGCTTCTATCACAGTTGTTGAAATGTACAACTCGCGAGAAGTTTCCTTTATTGGTGAAACATACACTTCAGTGAAGATAGAGCAAAGCTTTCATACCATTACATCTAACGGTATCTCCGGATTGAGTAGAATAGTGTTTTTGTTTAATGTATTATCTGACTCCCGTATTGCAAGAGGTGGAAAAATAATTCCTTACCTTTGATACTGTGCTAAGTGACTTCTAATTCTATATAATGCGTGTTAGATATGTCTCATAAAGGAGGATGTTTTCGTTTTTTCTTCAGATTATCAAGAAACCTAGTGAAAATTAGTTAAGCATAGGTCACGCCGATGGTCATTGAAAGTAGGGAAAGGGGACTAAGCACATGTTTTACTTTGTCTTGGAGTAAACTCTCGATAATTTAACGTCTGAAGTGGCATGCTTATACTTCATTTATTCATTAACAATTTTTTTGTAAAGTGATTATCAGTTACGGTTCTATTACTTGGCCCTTGCAACCTTTGGTGACAGTTCCGAATCATGTTACGTTATCCTCTAAGTAGATGTATTGTTATACAGGGACTCGACCATGAGCAACTGTGTTGTCTGAAATAGTGAATAGTACAAATGTCTTTGTACTTACATATTTGTTTGTATCTATTTCAGTGTAGGCCCCCAGTAGCCAACAAGGTTATCATGAATAGGACGGGATTAGGGTAATAAAGAAACGTGTATGTACTTCATAGACATGGATGATTTCATCAAGTTAGGAGGAACATGTAACCCTATACCATTCTTTTTACAGGGCCTTGAACATATTTGGGACAAGCATTATTTTTCAAATAGGCCCACATGTGAACAACTTTTTGACAACTCGATCCCATATAAAAACTCACACCATTGGGTTTTCCAAAAATGTATTACCAGAAAAATGGAAGCAAATTGAAGAATGACCAGAAAAAAACAGCAATCAGTCTCATACAGTATGAAAGTTGGCGCCAGTTGCACGTTTAGCCGCTCTGCGAACATACTCGTGAAGGGCTCCCGTGTTCGGCCCTCGTTGCGATTGGTGAGATTTGTCGGAAGCAATCACATTTTGCATTATTCCTTTCAAGCCTCTTAATCTCAAAAGTACACTGCTGTAGTCGTTTATATGCACCCCGATATACAGAGTGTCATCGCCCTCGACGATCAGACCGACGGGAAATATGAAGGGATCTTCTATGTACTTATAACGTACAATAGGAACACTTTTCATGATGTCCTGATGGATTCTGATATTATCACTTACATAGACTACACGCCTTTGTTCCGCATGAAGCACAATTATGTGAGTCGTATAATATCTACGCGTCAGATTGTCCACCCGCTTTTTGAACAGAGTACAGTGTGCGACGGATATATAGTACGGGTAGCTGTACAACTCGAATGGAGTGCCTCCTCGCAAATGGTTACCGAGATCTTGAAACTGATAACTCGGGTCTTCAAAGTGGACAAAAGAGCACACCATTTGTCTTGAGCACATCATGATTCGTAGAGGATCTAAATTGTGAACAAAATATAATGTCCCATGGTCATTGTAGGCCGCCCAGTGTTTATCTCGAGGGATACCCTTGTCCATTGGTCGGGGTTTTACTCCACCATTTGTTATCTGAGGTACGATAACTTTTTCTCTCACATAATCCCACATCAGTGTATAATCCAAAACATCGCCGTTCTGGAAAAATATCCCCGTGTTCAGAGACACGAAAACATCACTCCCTACTTTGAACAGTCTCGGTTCTATAGGTCCATCACCGATCCAGAAGTTCTTTGGTGCCGGAATGCCCATTAGAGAGCCATTTGTGATCGGTTTTAAATTTTGGTCAAATTTCTGGACATAAAAATAATTGTCCTGAAAGCTGTTATAGGGGTAATTTTTCTTGTCTTCGTATTTCTCTTTGTCTAGCCAGATGCGCAATATGGCTACCAGCTCACCGTTGTACCACGTGATGGCGGGGCTATTGGCAAAGAATACATTTTGGTGAGGCGGATCGGGAAACATTTGTGCAACTCGTTTTTCAACGCCAGGGGAAAACGAATACACCAGCGAGGACGTAACGTTCGTGCGGAAGGTAAGGGAAGACACATTCCCAAGAAATACAATACCGTCCATTTCATATGTCATAGAGAACCGATCTTTTGCTTCGATAGTTGGATTTCGCGAAGAGTCGGAATCTCTTGACTGGCGTCTTTTGACATCGTCACTGGTATTCACAGTGTCTGAGTATTTGTCTGATTGCAGCCGTCGCAAACGCGGCTCGGTTCCCGTTTCCAGAGCCTGAAAGTCTCGTCCAGCATCGTTTCTCATTAGTAGCACCACAACGCCCAAGAGACAAAGCAGAAAAATGCCAAACCGTCGTGTCTGGCGAATTTTGAAGGCTCGAAGTAAATTGCTTAGGTCCATGGCTTTCTGCAAAAAGCAAAGGATGATTACTTTCATACAAATCAAATGTTATTGCTTGTTATTTTCAATTGTCCGTTTCGAAAAAAAACTGTTCACAAAACTTCAAAAAAATTTTAAGACGTGACAAGAAAACAAAGAACGACAATTGTTAACCACGGAAATATTTCTCCAAAAAGAAAAAAACCCACCGTTTTCTTAGAATAAATGTGACTATAAGCCTAGATCACATGTCCTATCTTTATGTCTTAAAGATAGGATATGCCGTCTGTCTGACTGAGTTCATTTTTAAATATCAAAGTTATCACACGATAGCTGAACTAATTCAGTGCACACAGCTGATCTCGTTTCAAGATAAATTCAGGCTAGACTTTAATGGGGACTTTTAAGGGGGGGGGGAGATAGTTATGTACATGAACCATCACAAGTTGTCACAAAATTGCCGTTGCAACGAATGATCACCAATGGCCAATAAAATACAATAATGCATTTGATTTATTAAGATGTTTAGTCTTTTTGTAGATGGCGTAATAGCCGCGATTTCAAAGTAAAAAAGTAATTTTTCTCGTTCACCATACCAGCTATACCTTTAGGCTTATGGAAGAAGACTAACAAAGTTTCTGGACATGTGCAGTTCAGATGTGTGATATTAGATTTTTTTAATGTTTGTATATTTGATGGGGGTTTCAACGCAAAATATTGAAAAATATCGGATCACAAACACAGATTTCGCTTTGAAAAAACTTTTGACTAGAAAATCAAGCTTTTGATGATAAGAAGTGTATGCGAGGACCAAACATATTTTAATCAGTTTAATATGTTGTTTTAATTCTTAAATGATTGACAGTCATTCCATTACTGGGCAATAATACTAAATTTCCTCTTTTCGAACTATTTTTCTTCAATAAATCTTTCGCTGGTTTTATTCCTACAGATTTACGCCAAGAGAGTGCAAATAAAGTGTAATGACTTCAGTACAGAAAAACCTGCACTACTGTACTTATCCAAGTGCAGCAAGGACAGAAATAGATAATTGATGATAATGTTTAATACTTTATCAGATTTTGTTGAGTCGAGACATTCGGTACTGTTCCTACCTTTCAATTAAGCCTTCGCAGGCATTTAATACCACCCCTGGTCCGAAACGACAGCAGACAAAGCCATTAGTCGCGTGATACACCTCGAGTTCATGTCGCCAGCACCATCCCTCAGGTCGTTTTCTTACCCTAGAACAAAAAATGAATTCATCATTCAAGGACAAACAAAGGAGTTGCGTAATTTATATTTCATAATCTGAGAAGGACGTGTATGAATTACTTTGTGACACGTTTTGCTCCCACCACGATACTCATATTTCGAAAGTTTCTGGTCAACAAGAGGGATTGGTGATCTCATTTTTTTCTCTCGACAATTAAAGACTATCATTTTTACCATACACGCAAAGCCAGGTATATATCGGGCAGATAAACGTCCAACAAAACCTTAATTTTACATTGATATAAAATAACACTGACATTCGCATAATTTAATACATACATGTATGGCATGAAAACATCAGTCGCTGCATTAAATGTGTTGGGCATTACCTAATCATAACAGTATTTTAGGCTTGTTCAACACAGTCAGTGCCCAGTGACTGTGCGTGTAGCATATAAATCTGCCAGCCAAAAAAAGTGGAATCCAAATAAATTAACTGCCTAACAGAGACGCCACCAAAGTAATGGAGACAACAGAAGGACGATTTAAAGCTAACTTTTACAACTATCCTATTTTTCACTGTTCTTATCATATGTGATCACGCCTAAAATTTTATCCAGAATATCAAAAAGATGCACTCACGGTTTATAATTATACATTCAGTTACGTATGACAATACGAATTAAAAGCACCGACGAAAGTTTTTTCCTTCGATTTTCTATCAAACTTTTATATTTTTTTTTGTGTAATTACAACTCCCCGTCACCCCCCTCCACCCTCATCACGAAAAACAGTTTGGATATTAGAGCCATTTATACAAAGGGTTGAAACTGAGTCTGATATGCTTTAGGTGCTTCTAAGATCATATCGGTGGATACTTAAATTAATTTTGCCCCAAGTCGTATAGAAACAGTGATTTATACCCAGCACATGAAAAGAACTGGTAATTTAAACGATAGTTAGAAAGCGAAAAGATATTTTACAAGATATGATGCCTTTTGCTATGCCATTAATATTAGTCTTTCGCTATCTCAGGAAATGGTTTCTCGTTTTAACAGATAATATACTACTTGTTTCTCACCTTATCCCCCAGCAAAACGTACTGCCGAAGCTAGAAAAGGATATATATTGGTCTACATAGAAATCCTCACCGTACACTATTCAAAGACTATAGAGGCACATACCCAGTTTGTCTACCTGTATGTATGAGTAAGCCTTTGTCCCCACTGTTCTGTGTACAGGGCACCAGGTGGGGCGAACAGAGAGTATTTATACACCTTACATACCTTTATATTGAGAATCGATATTTTCGAGTACGTGTTTGGCACTGGGTAGAAAGTCAACTAGGCCTACTAGGCCACTATGACCCAACACACACCACCAAATGCTAGTTTTTACTAGAATGTACATACACCTGACTTATATGTGAAACTAAGCTAGAATGTTACAATAAATCCCTATGGTAAGCTTATAAGTTCATAAGTTCCATATAGCCGTTTAACGCACTATCATCAGCTACAGTATACGATATAATGTCCATGGGTATTTGTGACAAGAAAACTTACCTTCATCGGTCGAGAGAAGGGTCCCCATTTCCTCTGTCTGTCTTGAGTACCACAAGGCCGCTGTTCACAACACGGTAGAGGTGTTAACTGTTGATTATCACCTGAGCGTTGAGGTATCAGGGCGTGACGAAATTGGCCGTCGGCCTTTCCCTTGCTCTTTGTCGGGTGTCATTGGCTGGCGCGAACTGTGCCGCGTTTAACACCGTATTGAGAAAAACGTTTTCAGGCTGACCCCGGGAAAGCAACCGTTTTATTTTCACTGAACACTTACGTCATTTATCAATATAGCAGGCTCCACAATAAGCGGGCGGGGCTCATACGAGGGGTAATTCACGTTCCCAGCGTTTAGCTGTCACACAACACATCGGCTTAATCCAACACCCATTTTAGTGAAAACAGTGCAGGACACTGTTCCAGCATTACGCTATTTCGGAGAGTTAATGTTGACAGGGCCTTATATTATACAAGTCCATATCATTAGAATAAAAGGAACAAACTGTATTTGTATGCTTACAAGAGATCTATCAGAGCTCTGTGCCATCTAATACAAAATGAGAAGGTGTAGGGACATCATCTGGATTTTCTCACACTCCTGGTTCCTTAATATCTCATTAAACTTAATAAGCACCAAGTAATGTGGTAATTAGGCTCTTTCCCAAGCCAATTTCAGTAAATTCAATGGGAAAGATAAGGCTTACAACAAAGGGGTTCTCATTGTAGTAATTACCTTTGAATATATAATTTCTTTATTAGACCCACGTGTCCCTCACGCCGAGTCACGGCCCCGAGCCGCTCTGTGACAGCCCTCTAAGGGAGCGTTCCCATAAATCCATCGTACTAGCTGGATCGTTCTAACTCTGCGGAGGATTTTCGCTAACTTGCATTCAGTACCAGCGGGTTAAATGTCTGACAGGCCTACTCAAGCCGCTAGGGGATAATTAAAGATAGTCAATTACCCCCCAGTTACTCAAGGGGGCGTGCCAGACAATTAAGCTGATTACACTGAAGACACTTTAGCGAGAAGCCGCGTAGAGTTAGATCGAACCAGTTAGTACACTGGGTTTATGGGAACGCAGTCTAAGAGTATCCATTTACGTGTGTATGAATTCACAGGTGTATAGCTCCGAGACCAGTATGCTGTAATTATTCGGTTTTATAACAAACATTATCAAATAATTGTAGGTTGAAAATGTCATTTTATTGACATTAATACCTTGATTATGACTCAAAGTACGAAATATAAATACTGATAACTGAATATATATCTGTAAATATTACATGTATGGAGGCGTAAAAATTTTATATGCAATTTTTGTTCACGTATGGCAGTCGTACAGGTATGGAGACTACGTAGTAAGGTTTAGTAGAGGAGGGTGGGGAAAGCAAAATTGGTGAATTTAAGCATTCAGCGGCCATTTCGTCATGACTAAGGCCACGTTTCTTTTCAGAAAGCAGTTTAGTTACATACCAGTGTAATTATGTCACACCGAAAGGAAACACTCACATTGTGGCTTATAGCTGGGGGGGGGGGGGGGAACAGAGCCAGGAGAAATAGGACTAGATTTTATTCTAAAAAGAAAGAAAAAATGAAAATAACATAACTAGTAATATGACCAAAAAATTACCCTAACTTAGAAAGTGGCAGGTCATATTGTTAACAACAAAAAGAAATGCACTATTATATCGTTGTTCAAAGTTGCTAGTCCTGTTTCGTGAGGTAATACTGAACTCTTTTGTTGGACAGCCGCTCCTATCGCATTGCTCGGACGGGTCAGGACAAGATCGTCACTGTCAGGCCAATGAGTTATATACCTCTTTTTCCGCCCTTTGGTCAGGCGTTCAGCAAAATTGCCTAACTTTAAACGTCGTAAAATCTATATATAGGCCTAAAGCTTTCTCGTGTCTGCTGCCCATACCCACTGTCATTTCAAGGGGTTTAAAATAAAAAAAAATTCAAGCCCTGAAAAAAATAGTATGGTGGGGGAGGAGGGGTAGCCATCTTGGTTATTTATTTACATTTTGTTTATTTATTTTGGTCCTATATTGAGGCAGAATATCTCACCTGATATCACGTGATCACTAGGTCAGCACCTTGACAAAAACAGTGTCATTGATATTATAATGATAAACCCCCAACTTTCGATATATTATTTTGCTTTAACATAGACGACCCGCTCCCCCACACATATACTCTAGGCACAAACAAAACAAAAAAAAAACCGAGGGGTGGACGCATCGAGACATATATGTACCCTACGTGTGTGCAGGCTAACACTCGCACACGTGTACGTGCTCACGTCAGCGTCACGTACACTGATACGTGCGGTGAAATGATACAGTCAAGAGACATTAATATTTTAACACTAAAACAACGTAAGCTGTTCATAAGAGGCCTGGAAAATGATCCGAATCTTTGAGATCCTCGCGTCAAATTATTTCCCTGGAGGGTAGCATGATATGTATGCGGTAGGCCCACTACACTTTCGTAATTGATACTTGTTCACGTTGTTGTTTATGTGACACGAAAACGAGCCGGTCTCAATCCGATGCAATAAACACACCGCCCTAGGTGTCACTGCTTGTAATTCCCAGCTCTAATTAAACACAAACTGTGTCTGTTTAATTTTTAAACAAAAACCAACGTGTCTCAGTTCTAGGTTGTTTAATACTTAAGACATATGTTTGGAAATTATTCTTGAAAACTGGCTTGGTAATTTAAATAAGCACGGCAATTTATCAAAAAACTTTCCATTTTAAAACACGTTGGTTTTAATTCCCTGCAATATTTCCAGATATAGTCGTTTATGACTATTAACTTGAAGGTTTTTATTTGTTAGGATGTTGTACATTGTAGTGCTACAATGTATACAAATTGTTTCTAGAGTGTAGGTCTTTCTGGCAGTCTAACAAGTAATAATAATAATAATAATAATAATAATAATAATAATAATAATAATGGATAAGATGACCGGTCTCATTTTTTGTTGGAAAAAGTGCAAATTATTTTTTATGCTCTGTTCTTCACTTATAGATAAAATATGCGATATGCGAGGTTTATATATGCCAAGTTGCAGAATCAATCATAAAAATCATCAAATACTAGCCTACACACGAGTGAATGCAAAATTATAACTTAAATATTAAAAACTGATATGAACAATGTGTCCCAGAAGGGAGTTTTGAACGGTGCGAAGTCGAGATCGGTTTTTAAAAGAAAAAGTTTCGAAAACTGGGTAACAGTTAAAGATATACATTGCTTTTAAGTAAGGTTTTAATAGATGTAATGAAAATACTAACGTGGTCATACAGTATACTGGGTCAATGAAAGAAAATAAGGACCAGGCATTAGGGTTTTTATTTAGTTAATTGCTGTGGTATTTTGAATATCTGTTACAACAGACTTACCCGATTTAAACGCACTTGATGTCCTGAACGCTAGTCTCTGACGTACTGCTGTGAATATTTTGACTCGCGTAACAATACAAAAGGCAACTTTGTTGTGATGATTGTAGGACAATGATGATGACAGTTGGTTTTCAGTTATTTCAGTATGCTACATGTAGCAGACCCTTTCACGCCTCCGATACATGAACCCAGAATGCGTTTTTCTTTAAAGCTTTTTTTTATTTGATAGAATTTGTTAAATAAAGAATAAGCAGATTTTGTTATAAATCAAAAGGGGAAGCGACTTTAAGAACAAAGCCAGCTATAAACACGGAAATTGATTTTATTATAGTTCCAAAATCAAAATGATTAAGCAACATTATTATTTAACCATAACGTTTGAGGATGTGCTCCAGGAGTGATGAGTTTCAATCAATATCTAGTTAACTGAAGCTTTCTAAGCATTTAGACCTACCTGTGTCGGCGCACACTCCTCTAATTAAAGCCCCCCTCCCCCCGTATCATTTAGTTTCTCAGTTAGCCGGGTTCTTTGGTTCACTTTGATGGCGTGTACCACCCTATGGCGGAACACACACACACACACACACACACACACACACACACACACATTTATATAAGATGTATTAGCTTGTGCGCCATTATCCGGCTTGTCCGTGTGGGATAGAAGTTAATAAGGATTGAGAAAGCTTCTGTTGTAATCTGTCCTCCCTTCTTCCGCTTCCCAGTTAAATATCACGCAGTTAAATATCATGGGGCTGTTTAACTAATCAGGTGAAGCACAATGCTCTAAGAAAAAAAAAGCAAAATTTAGTCAGGACGCATTCCAATGCAATAGTCTTCAAATGAAAATGTCCAACCAGAAAAAACCTGCAAGACAGCATGTGGTTCTGTTGCTACGACAAATGGTCAAATGGTGCGTTTCTGGTTTCGTGTCACGTTCACATTACTTACTTATCTGATGATTGAATGCGTCTGTATCGTGATAATTTCTATCAAAATGACCCGTTTAATTGTTCGTCTTTTGGGCCCTTTTGCTGTTTGATATGCAGAAATATTTTTAAAAAACCCCACTTGAAATGATGAAGTCCCCTTGCTTAAGTAGAAGTTAGACACGCTCCTTGAGCGATTAAGGGGATCTGTGTAAACGCTACTTGACACAAGAATGTTTAAAAGTCGACGCTGTGATGAAGTACAGAAAACTGTCGCGGGCAGCCACGAGCCCGTTAAGTACCCTGGACACCAACGTCAGCACAGTGCCCAGACAAATAAAACGCATTAGTTTAGATTAATTAATCATACAGAGGTCAAATTACGGCGCACTTATTACGTCAATAAGGGTGTTATCATTTGATTTGTACTAAAAATGTATTTCTTGAAAAATTCAAGAACGTGACATACAGATGGCATGAATAGTAAAGCAGCTATAACGTTCTCGTAATAAGTTTCGACGGAGCATAACGAAATGAACAAGGCCCGTTTCAGCCGCCACCAGAATTCGCTTAAAACTTCTAACAATACAACTGGCACATCTAGCCGAATGCCGCCGTATTAGGTCTTCTCTGTCACGTACTTCAACTTACGGCTTTTTATATGTGGCGCACGGATTTACATTTTACCAATTATAAAGTATTAGCACTTGCTGATTGACTATGTACATTTGAATACGATAAATATTAAACGTGCATTAAACAGTAATTGTAATAAAACTGTTAAAATGGTCATATGTGAAACAAAGCATAAAACAAAACATTAATGCTCATGAAGAGATAGAAAAAACAATTTTGCGTAAGGAATAAAATACAAAGAGGAAGGCATTGTGACACAAGTGAAAATGATAAAGATTCTGCGCCCACATTCCATCACATTTCTCCTTCTCTCTCTCTCTCTCTCTCACACACACACACACACACACACACACACACACACGCACGCACATACACCCTCACACACAAGGCAAGCAGTATTACGATTTTATATCTTTGACTCTTTCATCTAATGTGTTTTTGTAAACTGATCTCGAATATGCAGCAAAGTTAAGTCTTCTACCATCTATGAAAATTTCAAAGCATTATATGTAGTAAACAAACTGCACCTTCAGTTGAAACAATGCATACGGGCTACGGCAG